TATTTATTGACTATCTATTATTTGACAGAACCCAGAGAAGAGCAAATATGATTCTCTGCTCTCAAAGAGCTCAATGTAATAATGTGATTTCATTACCATTACACTATAGCAATAATATATTTTGGCTCTATCTTTGCTTTAGGGCTATTAGAGAATCTTCCCATCATACCAGAGAACTGAAATTATAATCACAGGATAGGTTTTTCATTAAAAATTTAGTAGTGTATATTGATACTTTTCCTAAATATTTTTGAAATGAATGAAATCAAAAGTAAATTGTTAAATAAAACAACTCTATGTTAAGCTGTAGGAGAAAAAAAATCTAGTAAGCATGAATTAACTCCTCATAAAAGCAATGCCTGTGACTTCAGAGTGAAATAAAATACACTAATGGGTAGAAAATAAAAGCTAGTCCAATAAGCTTTACAAATTAATAGGTATTATTTTTAATCACTTGAAATGATGGTTTACTTTTTAATGATAATATTGTAGTAGATAATAATAATTTTACAGCCTAGATGAACTTCGTTTACACTCAGGATAAAAGTAATGGGACCAAGCTAGATATCTCCCAGCTATATGGCAAAATAATTGTTCTATAGTAAAGTCTCTATATTCTCTTATAGGGTAAATTCCTAATTATTAAATCTTCTGCCAACATTTCTGATTTTATTCCCCTCTTTCCAGCCGGTAGACATACTTTACAGTATCTGTGATAACAGAGAAGAAACAAACACAGATTTGTTTGGAGATCACCCCTAGATTTTCTGCCATCAGTTTTCCAGGACTAACCACAACGATGCCTGGAAACACATTAGAAACTAGTGGGCATATTCTTTTCCTAAAGTTAATCATCTTCACTGCGTTTTAAAATCTCATTATTTTAAAATTAAAAAAAAAAAAAAATCTAGAAAACCACACAAAATAAATTTATGGCATGATGAAACTTTATAAAACAAACACTTGGTTATTATAAAGGAACCACCATGGCCGTAAGGAAAAACAGAAGTCCACCAACCCTCTCAGAAGCCCTCTTTCCATGAGCCCCATCCCTGTCACAGCCTCTTCCCCCTCCCGCAGGCAACCATTATCCTGATTTGTACAGCGATCATTCCCTTTCCTATTTTATAGGTTTGTCATCCAAAAGTGCATCCTTACCCGCTGTTAACTGTTGATTTCTACATGCATTATTATTTTACATTTAGCACTGCATACAGTTGCTAATTACTATTTCAGTTAACATTTTAAAATATAAATGCAAGAAGATCAAAGTTTTACTCATCTTCAATGTTTTCTCTTTTCCTCATAATAAGTACTGACAGGTTGATTTTTCAAGAGAAAGGATATTAGCACTACACATCATTTAACAAGTAAAATAAAAAAGTGACAAAAATCCATTCTCAAGAAGGAATGCTCAGAAAACAAACAAAAATAAAATAAAAATCAAAAGCCAAAAATGTTTCTGGGATCATTATTACCAAAAAAAAGGGTTATTAAAACTATAGCATGGCTCAGAATTATATCCACTCAGTTCATAGGTGTCTCTTTTATATGTGTGTAGACAAAACAGAAGCCCAAGAAATGCTAACTGCCTACTCATATACCTCAGTGGTACAAAAATCATAGGACCAACACAAATTCAAATTTTACTGTACTAAGTATTTTATTTTCTAATTTCAGGAGAGAGAATGGTTTTCAATGAAAGGTAAAACTTAATCGGCTTTAAAATAACTTTCCTGAATCTAAAATTAATATTAACTATAAATATTTGGGAAACACAGAAACACTGTATATATAGACAAAAATCACGTATAATCCCAATACCCAAAGATGATCCCTTTAACATTTGAGCCTATTTTTTATTAAAAAGATTATTCATTATTTACCTCATTATGCCTCCACTATTTCTTCAAAAAAGTAGTTTATCTTTCATTATCCATATGCTCTTACAGATAAGCAGAGACTATAAAATAACAAGGCTACTTTTTAAACATATCAGAATTTATACATGCTAATGAGTTACTTTTTTTACTTTAAAGATGCAGCCAATGAAAAAAATATTTTTCAGTAGGCTTTATCAAGAGCTACTTTGAGTATGGGGAATGCCCAGGGGTGGGAGGTATGCGGGGTGGAGGGGATCAATGGGGGGGAGAAAGGAGGACATCTGCAATACTTTCAACAATAAAGATAAATTTTTAAAAAAAGAACTACCTTGAAATTCAGTCGGTATACATATTAATTACCATCACAGAAATAGTTCCCAATGGACCCTAATACAGGAATATAACATGATAGAAGTTCACCAAAATCTTATTGTGTTCCTATTTCCTGTTTTCTTCCCTGAATCTTTACACTTCTATGTCTACACATTAAACATGAGTTATGTTGATAATTTTCAAAATTGCCTATTAAGAATTCAGAAAATCCAACTCATGAAAATTACCATAAAAGTACGCTATGGAAGACAAACACATTTCTAAAAATCCAGTTGTAATAAAAAATTATGCAAGTCAAACTCTATCTTTTCACCAACCTCCATTTAAAAAAAATTTTGAAGATGAGCCCGGCTGGTGCGGTTCAGCAGTTAAGCATCGACCTAGGATTCGGAAAATCGTGGTTCGATTCCCAGTCAGGGCACATGCCCAGGTTGCAGGCTTGATCCCCAGTCGGGGGGGGGTGCAGGAGGCGGCCGGCCGATCAGTGACTCTTTCATCATTGATGCTTCTATCTCTCTCTCCCTCTCCCTCCCTCTCTCTGAAATCAATAAAGATATATTTAAAAAAAAAAATGTATTACAACTGAAAATAAATTAGCTTAAAGGTATAATAAAATGCTATCTAAGAATAAATTAAATCTCTTAAAACTAATGTTTAAGATGGAATTATGAAACCTCAGATAAAACATGTGTTAGTGTTCCTAATAAATTAGAGAACAAAATACTGACCTTTTTTAAAACTACATTTTCTTAGGGCCAAATTACATAAGAGGTTGCTCTCTAAAATCTACTCTAATTTCACTTCTACTTCTGGTCAGTGCTCATTTCAAAAACACTGAAGTACTGAAGTGGGTTTCTAAAGCTAGTAAGTGTGAATACTCTGAAGTGTTGAAAGTGCCTTATGAATGCAAAATGATTATGGTGATGGTGATGATAATGGCAATGACAACAATGGTGATGATTATCTAAGCCTCTAAGAAAGAGATGCCGAATTAATTCTGTATTCCCTATAAGATTTCATGGTGAACAGTAGGGTGCATCTTTCCAGACAATGGAATTTTGAAAGAGTACTGGTATAGTTAATTTCCTAAAACGTAGATCCACAAATATTACATGTCCTTTAGAGCAGAACACTGGTGGTCAGGGAATCGTGTGTATGCTGTTTGATTTCTTCCTTCTACTTTAAAAAACCCAGTCTGCAACTAAAAAACAACCAAAAAACCTGCCATCTAGCTATCAAAATTGGTGGGTATTTTAAAAACTTTTTCCACAAATGGCAGGCCAAATCTAGGCATGTCTTTCCTGGTGTACGAGAAAGGTGAGACCGAGTATCCTGCTCTCACAACGTTCCATATACTCTTGGTTAGCTCTCTGCTTTACTCTCTGCCATCGGCCAAGGGTGAGAGAGGGAAACGAGTCTGTTCAGACGGATCCTGTGTCCTGGGCCCTGCTTACCTGCCTTTCTCTGCTTTTTCTTTATATGCAGTAGCATGCTTCACTCATCTTGTCCCATACAGCTGGGGTTTAGTACATAGCAAGCTTTATGAGTACAATCCAGATCTGATCAGGTAATCAAGAGCAGTCTCACTTAAATCAGTTCAGTAAACATTTCAAGTATTGCAGAGTCCCTGCCAGATGCGAAAGACATTCACTTCCCTTAGGTCTGCACCCTTTGCCTTGTGCTACTTTTGGCGTTCCAATTCTCCAGGCTATAGCTACTCTTCAGCCTAAGGCTGAAGTACGTCCTTTGGAAGAACACGGTCGTTTTCCCTTTTGAACCCTGGTTCTGGTTTTCAAGGCTGTTTATACAGACTGCGGCCTCCCTTCTATCAAACAAGTATCCCCTTGGCTAAGCTGCAGGTACCTACGACCAGATGCTTCCTCAGGCTGCAGCCCCAACTGCACCTCCTCCAAACCTAGGAAACTGGATTTCCTCAGCCCGTCTCCATCTGTCCTTCTTTTATGGCCAGTTCTGCAAACACGGTGTTTTCCCAGCCCCTTCCCAATACCATCTCCTCACTCCTAATGCCATCCTTCCCTAAAGAAAATCTTCCTTGTTTCCTCACCCCCCCTTTTTTTTCTTTTTTTTTTTTTACAATTCTTCTCCCTGATACCATCAATTCTATAAAATCACATTTTTGGTTCTTCTAAAAAATGTCTTCATATATATCACCTAGCCAAGGACAGTCCACTGCCCTTCTTTAAGAATTGTTTTAAAAATCACATTTTCATTTTTGTACACTCTTTTGCTCTCTTATCTTGTATTTCCTTTAATTCACAATAAATTTTACTTGTGGGACTGAATTCAGTAAAGGGGATATTTAGCCTCATGACTGCAATTATTCTTATTTTCATGCTCTTAAGGAACTTCAAGCTCCTATGATATGTAACCAAAATTAGCAAAATGAGAATATTTCTATATATATATTTTTTAAATCTTATGTGCAATATCATTAACATAATTCTTATGACAACGCTCTTCGTGAAATACATAATTACTACTTAATTCTTATAAATCTAAAATTTCACAAATCAGTCATGCTTAAAGATAAGAAATATCCTTAGTAGCTTGGAGTGAGGACTACTCTCTTACCCTAAGCTTTTTCAACAAGACTCAAACACCCACTTGTAATTTACTGTTAAAGTTATGAGCTTATTTTTCAAGGAAAAAAAAGCACAATTTCTTATACACCAAAGGAAAAGAACAGATGGTCCAATGCATTTTCAAGAGCAGTGGTCAAAAAGAAAACGGACAGAGTATCAGTGAGATTACTTGTTAACTTACATAATCATGGAAGGCTTTTGCTTCACTTGAATGCTCACATGTTTCCCGTCTTTCTGGAGCTGCACAGTAGAGATCCCAAAATACACTGAAAAAGTGATTACGGTAACATTAAGAAAATCACGCCAAATGAGAGAAAACAATTCTAAAACCAGAAGGCATGTATTATTTTTTATATAAAATGTGTTTTCTTCAGGACAAACATTTCTTTGGAAGACTTAAGTTCAGGCAAGACTCTTCATGTAATAACAGGGTATAACCTATCCCCCTTCAGAAATGCTAATATGGTTTTTCCAAAAGGATAAAATAACTTTTTTAAATTTAAAACTGTCACTCTTGTCTGTTTACATGACATATACATGATTGAAATAATTATAATAATTTTCACAACTCTCCCATAAAAAATTATAACAGGAAAAAAAAATCCTGATTTAATCATTAAAGAATAAAGTAGTTCATTAATTTTTTTCAAGATAATTTTGTTGTCCAGCTCATAGGACAACACCCAAACCATTGCATCACATTGGTCAAATACATATGTTTTCTTAAAAGTTCCTCGTTTTGCCTTGCAATTACCAAAATAGGTTAGCAATTTTGAAAATTAAAATCTCCATGCTGTTTTCCCTTCTATTCAAGAATACTGAGAAAAAGCAAGATGAAACTGATTAGGAAAAATAATATACTATGCACTCTGGTCACCCTCCTTCTATAAAATTAACTATGAGCTTAAGCAAGGGACTCAAAAGTCAGGACAGCAAATGTCTTGTCTAAAAGTACTACTGGTGATATGCCAGCCCTACTAATTACTGGCTCAAGTTGCTTAAACAGATTGAAAACACAATTTCCTCCTCTATAAAATGAGGTTGTTTAGAAAACTAAGTTATATAACTATGTGACTCATAGTAAGCATATTATTAATAATATCATCAACACTATACCAAAACTTATGGGATGCAGCAAAAGCAGTGCTGAGGGAAATTTAAAGCTGTAAATATTTACATTGAAAAACAGGATGATCTTAAATCAACAATGTAACTTTAAAACTTAAGGAACTAGAAAAGAACAAATTAAACCCAAAGCTAGCAGAAGGAAATAATAAAGATTAGAGCAGAGATAAATGAAATAGAGAACAGAAAAACAATAGAAAAAAATTATTGAAAACAAAAGTTGGTTCTTTGAAAAGATCAACAAACTTGACAAAACCTTTAGCTGGATGGACTAAGAAAAAAAAGGTTCAAATTACTAAAGACTCCACCAAAAACTTGTTAGAGCTCATAACAATTGTTAGAGCTTATAAGAATCCAGTAAAGCTGCAAAATACAAAAATCAATATACAAAAATCCGTTTCGTTTCTATATACTAACAATGAATTATCAGAAAGAGAAATTAAGAAACAGAATTGCATCAAGAAGAATAAAACATGTAGGGATAAGCTTAACCGCAGAGGTGAAGGGCTAAATACTAAAACTGTGGGACACTGATGAGACAAATCGAAAACGACACACAAATGGAAAGATGTACCATGACATGGATTAGAGGAACTAATGTTGTTGAAATGTTCATACTACCCTAAGCAATCTACAGGCTCAATGCAATCCCTACCAGCATTCTAATGGCATTTTTCATAAAAAACAAAAACAAAACAAAACAAAAAAAACCCCAACAACTCTGAAATGTGTGTGGAATCACAAAAACCCCAAATAGTCAAAACGATATTGAGAAAGAAAAACAGGGCTGGAGGCATCACACGTCCTGATTTTAAACTATGTTACAAAGCTACCATCAACAGGCACTGAATTCTTTTCTCTACAACCTGAGATGCTGGTGGCTAAAACACTTTTCAGTTCCTCTAATCCCTACATCTATTAAGCTTGAAACCAAAATATTATCCTTGAAATGTGGTGAATCCATCATGAATAATGCTTTAGATTCAGTCTCTGTATCAAGCAGAAACAAGTGAAAAATCTGTATTTTATAAATGAAAAAGAGAAGCAAACTTGCAAAGTATTGAAATCTTTGTTTTTCATTTATTATTAAAATTTTCCCCACATAAACCAAAGGGAAACTCAGGATTCCCAAGATGAGAGTCCTCGTCCAAAAACAGTTTTCCTTCTACCGTGAGGACGCGAGAGGAATGACCTGGCCGGCTGTGTCTCTAGGGAACACAGCAGCGGAGAGGTTGTCAGCGCGTCTGCAAGGGAGATAAACACGCCAGATGTGCTCAGAAGACGGGGTGCAAACATAATTCTATAACCTTTATGCCACTGGCCAGATTCAGGACTATCTGGAAATAAAAATTAGAAGAAGAAAAACCTTTGGGGGAAACATTCTTTCCTGAGGAGCATGCCATGTTATTATAAATTCAAGTCTTAATAACTAAAGGTTATTTCTCTTTGGCCCAAAATTATATTATCAATGAACAAAGAAAACTACCCGTTCCTAAAACTAAGGAGGGTTTCACATGAAAAGCGCATGTACCTGCTCATCACCTTGAACTTCCACATATGTGAACTTGCCTAAGTCCTTAGCATTACTTAATACAGGTTAAATGCAGGCATTAAATTTTGCCCCAATATCATAAAATTCTCACAACACTCCTGAGTTAATAAGAAATTTATATTTTAAAGTATCAAAAGAGCTTACATTTAGTAAGCATGGGCTAAATGCAAGCATCTTCTACTAAGCATCACATATTCAGCATTTAATCCTGTTATTATTCCCATTTTATAGGTGAGGGAACTGAGGCTTAGGAAGGCTAAATAATTTGCCCATGGGTCACATAGTTAGTGCAGAGCTGGGCTTGAACTTTTTAACTCCTACATTATTTTGCCTCTCATGTGACTGTGGTATTAAGAGTTCTTATTTCCAGATGCCTTAGGCTGATTATGGGCAGGTTTATACAGCTCTGGCAGTCTGAGCAGCATCAGCTGTCACAAGAATGTGGTAGAGACCTGTCCTAGATAAGACAGCAAGCACTTTGTTATCCTACCTTTGACCCTTGCACTCCAACTCATTTCCTGAGTATCCTGTGGCAACCACCTCTTCATGCTATCAGCAGCTGCCAGTGATCCAGGGATGCCCTGATATAAACTAGACTTAGAAGGTACAACTTTCCTGAGTTCCATTTATATCTACTGTCCGGAATTAGCCACTCACGATTCTCAAAAGGGAACTGCTATTAATTTCTTACTAACAGTGGGCCACTAAATTCTGTTCTGTGTTTAAGAAATAATATCTGTTGCAGAGGCAAGCACTAGTTACAATTCAGGAAACTTCAATTCTAATTCTAAATTTGAACCTGAGCAAATAGTTTTGTTCCTTCGATTCTTTATTTAAAAAGAGAAATATCTGTTATGTATTTTGCAGGTTTTAGTATAGATACAAAGAGTTGGTACATGCAAAAGTACTTTTAAAGGTCGTACTCTACCTACAATTCAGCTGGTCCAAGCTACCTCTCATTCCTTACTTAAATGCATGATCATCCCTTTCAAGACTTCATACTAACTATTCCTCCACCAAAATACCTTTCCCTCTCCCAACTTTCAGCTCAACTCAGATTCACATTCTCTTTTCCGGCTTTTCTAATTCTTGCAAGCAGACGTGAGTATTCCTCCTGTACTGCTATTATAAGCAGTGCATATCTCAGTTATAGTACTATTAATTGTATTTAAGAGCTGTACCTTCTGATAGCTAAGGCCAAAAAAGCTAAAGTCTGACCGAAGCAAAAAGCCAAAGGATTCAGTGAGTTATTATTAACCATTATAGTATGAGAATAGGTTAAATTCATGAGAAAGGGAGTAGAAGGGAAAAAGGTGCAAAAAACAGAAATAATCCTATAACGGAAAATTTAAAATCATTACTTTGTTAGCCCACTAATTCAATAGGGACAGACTTCTAAAATGGTTTCTTATGCCACTTTGTAGAACTAGTTAAAAATATGCAAAAGGTAAGGGTGTCAATAGGTGAACAGACTCAATTACATTCAAACAAACAGTTAAGTAGTATTTACAGTCTAGATCTAGGTATCATAAATATATACTATATAAAATGAAAAATTGACTTTTATAATATTACATATTACAAGAGATTGGTCTTATGCCCCAGGAAAGGAGCACAATGATAGCACTTAACTGCCATGAACCGTTGTTCCAAATACAGGAACAACTCTGAACCAGAGCACTGCACCTGTTCCTGCCACATATATGAGAGACAAACAAGGGAAACCCACAACCACAACTGACCAAGTGTGGTTCCATTCACCACAGAACTTCTAGTAAGGCATGTTTTCAGGAGAGAGATTAAAAAGATGATGGCATTTAATAACGTACTAAGGAAACCACGTGCAAAGCACTAGACGAGAGCTTTAGTTTCTTCTTTTAAATAAGCTGCTGAGAGATGAGCGCATAAGATACTGAACAGGAAATGCTTCTAATTAAAGAAATGGTAGGGGGAAAAAGCCTAGCTAATTCATGAAAATACCTGGGCTACCAATTACTGCTGTAGAAAAGTCATATCTAGGTTTACATCTAGGTATACAGGTGCCACAATGAAATGTATAAATTCTTATATCAACTGGGCCTTCAATACTGCCTGACAATCTTTTTGTGTGTTCCTAATCAGTTCTATATCTCTGAGTCTATATAAAATTATTTTAATTTTATTTTTTTACTATTCTTCAGTCTCCTCAAAAATTCACCATCACTACCACCACCTTCAGTATCTTCATGCTTAAATGAAGTCATGAGGGTGGGGACCTCATGATGGAATTAGGGTCTTATAAAAAGAGATATCAGATAGCTAGCTAGCTAGCACCCACGTGCCTTCCACACCTCTCTCTACTACGTGAGAACACATAACAAGGCAGCCATCTGCAAGCCAGGAGGAGTGTTCTCACCAGAAATAGACCATACTGGCAGCCTGACCTTGGACTTCTGGCCTCCAGACTTGTGAGGAAATAAATTTCAGTTATTTAAGCCATCCAGTCTATGGTATTTTACTACGACAGCCAAAGTTGACTAATACAGAATCACACTTACAATTGGAGATTCCACATACTGGTCCTAATTCCAGCTTGATTCAATAGTCATATCTTTAAGTTTTAATAACATGAATGCTGGTTTTGAGGTGTTTTTTAAAGTGCTATCTTTCAAAAAATAATTGTAGAAAATGAAAAAGAATAAAAGAGAAGCATGAAATCATAAACAGCTATAGTGCAGGCCTACTGAATCGTATCATTAATATGGTAAAAATGATATAAAAGATACTTACCACCACCAAGAATGTAAGAATCCTGGTGGTTCCCCCAATGTGATGTTTTTTTCCCATCTTATCTAAAATGAATAAAAGAAATATTAAGATTTTAATCATTTTCATACTATTTACTCAAGTTTTACATAGTAATTTGCATAGCTGACTGAACAGTCTATGAGAGAAGGTGCCACCATTATTTTCCTGAGTTTGCTTCCCACTGTGCCAGAATTTCAGCAGGTATTTCAGGATCTTAAGGTACTTCAGCATCTTGAGGCACATCAAAATAAAAGTTATTACCAATATGAAAATCAGTTATCACCACTAACCCAGAAATTTATAAGAGAGTCTAAATTATACCTTAAGGACTGAATCAGTTCCTGATTTGAGGGGCTGGGAGTAAGAAGGCATATGTTCCATAAAATAAGAGTTTACAAAAGATGCTGATATAAACTTTCCAATTGTTTATATTTCAGATGAGTTGAAGTCCACTATTATAAAAATTTAAAACTAGGTCAATACCCCTCCAAATTAAAAGTTCTAAATACTCTTTACAAATTAAATTTAGAAATTGAAAAGCAGGACGGGTATTTATACAGTGGCTTTTCTAAGCACTGGATAGCAGTAAACACAAAAGGTAAAGTCTTTGCATTCAGAGAGATTACACTTTAGTGAGAAGGACAGACCATAAGCAAAGAATCACCACCACCCCCCAAAAAAGACTGTACTTGTATTACAGGTAGAAGGTAAAAAATGCTACGGAGGAAAACAAAGCAGTGAAGAGAAGATAAAGAGAGCAGGAAAACAGTAAGAAGTAAGTTATAATTTTAATAAAGTTGATCCAGTCTCAAACACAATTTTTATGTATTTGCCTTAGTTTTTTAGTTTAAATAACTAAAAATTATTTAGTAATACTTCAATCAACAAAATATGCCCATAGGCCCTTAACACTATTAGGAAGTAAACAACTATAATTACATATTCAAGGAATCCTTTCTACCACCAACTATGGAAGATGTTAGGACTTCTTATCCCAAAAGGATTTTTTTACAAGTTTTAGAACAGAAACTTAGAAGGTGGTCCTAAATGTAAAAAAAAAACCACCACAAAAAAACAAAAAGAAAAAACACTCTAAGGAAGAGATGGAAAAACTTAAGAGCAATTAAAATCACCAAAACTGGCTGCATTTTTTTGAGTTCTTAATAACCCAAAATGTAAACCAATGGGAACCTTGAAGTAGACAAATAATTTCCTCTCAAAAAAACAAAAGCAAATTTTCTAAAGATTAGAAAATTATACATGTGATAGACATTTTGAAAAAAGCAAAAAGGAGAAATTCTAGGAATTCATGAACTTGAATTTATAAAGATTAAATAGGAGTAATGAACCAGAACATGTTATATAAATGTAAGCCAAATCCTTTAATTCTCCTAAGCAGTTACAAATAAGTTTTATATCTGTGCTACTTTTTATCTGATAATTTCCACTGATCAATATTACATCTCCTTGGTTCATGAAAAAATAAGAAATAGTACCTAATGAGTCTTATAAGGAACACAACTCTAATGGCTACTAAAGTTATAATTTAATCAAAAGCCTGTGTCTCATCTTTCTCTCATTTTTTTCTCTAACCATTTTTACACTAGTGGATGTCTTCTTGGAAAGGTATAATAAGGGACCTCACAGAGGTGTCCCAGACTCACTAATATTCCTAATCCCTCGAATCATCCTAGTCACATAAACAGCAAGGTTTTCAAAGTAGTGTCTTTACGTTTCATCTCAGTTCATCTTGACTTTACATAAAGTGACTGCTACAGCAGACAGCACTAATCTCAGTTATAAGGAGAACGTGAGGCGACTTACGGAAGAGTTAAGGTGGCAGGACGAGGTCTCAGTGCGACACTGTGCTGGAGGGAGTAGACTCACAATCTGAGCCCCACTATACGTCTCCCTCCTGCACTACGCAATGCCCACAGTCAATCACCAGCTCTTCCAGGAGATAAAGTACTCTAGGAAAACACCTATATGGTTTATGTTTGATATGCTCTTTTAAGAGAAAGTCTGAGGGGAGCACATTTGTATTTTAAACAGCATTACATCCTGTCATTCCCCAGAGAAACCGAAAATGCTTTCCACACATCATCTTTTCATTCTCATAATACTAGTGAGTAAAGTTCACCTTTCTCACTTTGAATGGCAAAGCTGTGGCAGAAGCAGTTAAAACTGTGGTCCATCTTATTAAATTTAACACAAAAGCTAGTCTTTTATAGCTAATGACTGTACAATTAATCCTTTAGGTATTTCCAAAGAAGAGACGATTCTACATAGGAATAGGTTTCCATAGTGAATGGGTGTTTGTTTGTTT